TCAAAGTCATCAGAATGACTTTTATATCAAAGAGCTTCAGTGAGTGACAGGCGCAGGATTCGCTTTGTACTGTTTAAAACTCATTAGGCCATGAAATAACTTTATCCTGCCAAGACAGGAAAGAACAACAGATGCTGTTTTTGCATTATCTGCATTATTTAGTCCAGCAATCTTTAGACATTTGGGTCAAGTTTCTACAAATTTGTTGCTTTCATCTGACTGAGGAATCATGTGTCCTAACCTTTCAGTCTGACCTGTCTAATTGGTGTCCATTTGTAACACTGCAGGGTTTTTCTGGTGACAATTCACCATATGCTGACATGGGTTTAATATAATTTCTGCTAATGCCAGGACATAAATCACAATTTAAAACAGAATAATGGAAGTATTGGATGCCACTAGGCAGAACAGATTCTTAAGCATAAAATAATCTGTGGTTACTTTCCTGTCCTGAAATGTATACAAAAGTGTTATTTTCACATCCTCTTAACACTGAAGCTGCAGTTAAGAAAAACTATTATACTAATTGTAGGTGCCTTTATCTTTCTTTTATGAAGAAAGCTAAAGGTCATCCCCCTTATAGAGAGGAATGGTTCTATTTGGCATATTTTTCCTAGGGGACGATAAATTGTCCTATTGCATAATGATTAAATAAAAGGAAAGAATAATTGTGCTTATCCCTGGTGAGTGCTAGGCAGCCTATACTCACAATAAATTATTATTAATAATAATAATAATAATAATTAAAACAAAAACAAAAAAAACCCAGGGCTTGATTTGTGCCTCAGATGGGATATTTTCCTAAGAATTATTTGGAGCAAGTTCTCTGGCTTATATTATACAGAAGGTCAAACTAGAAGATCACAGCAATCTCTTCTGTCTTAGAAATCTATTAATTCTATTTTTGGGTGAAGAGTATGGGGTAAAATTTGAAGACTCCTTTCAATCCACTGTGAATCTCCCACTGATCGTGATGGGAGATGTGTAAATACAATATTTTCTCCACGTAAAAAACGACACTTGTAATCATTATTGCTCTTTATGATTTGTTTGATACCTTATCCTACCAGAGTGTGTCTAGACCATACCTCTCTGCCGACAGCGAGATGTAGATTAGACACTTTGAAAGTGCAAATGAAGCCGGGATTTAAATATCCCGTGCTTCATTTGCATAACATGGCCACCGCTTTTTTTCTAAATTGAATTTTTTCGAAAAAAAGGGCAGTCTAGACGCGGATCTGTCGAAAAATAAACCTTTTTTCAAAAGATCCTGTAAACCTCATTTTTTGAGGAATACAGGATCTTTTGAAAAAGGGTTTATTTTTCAACAGATCCACGTCTAGACTGCCTTTTTTCCCCCAAAAAGCTCAGTTTTGAAAAAAGTGGCGGCCATGTTTATGCAAATGAAGCACGGGATATTTAAATCCCAGCTTCATTTGCACTTTTGAAGTGCTTGATTTGTATCCCTCTGTCGACAGAGGGATGCAGTCGAGACGTAGCCCTAGTCATTATCATTCAAAGGAAAAATCAGCTCCCTTTAAAATCAGTACTATCTCTACTCTAAGGGCATGTCTACACTACATGGAAGATTAACACTGCCATGGTCAATCTTCCGGGGTTCGATTTAGCAAGTGTAGTATAGACTCACTAGATCAAACTCAAAGGGTATCCACACCAAAATCGGTACTCCTGCTCCTCACAAATAGTAAGGGAAGCCTACAGGAACATTTGCTCCCGTCAGCCTCACACTATGTGTACAGTGTGGAAATGTGATGTAAGATATGTCGACTACAGCTATGTAATTTATGTAGCTGGAGTTGCGTATCTTACTTTGATTTTCCCATGTAATGTGGAACAGGCCTAAGTCTCTCTTTCTCCTCTGTATGCTTGTCTTCCTCTTCCCTGACTTTGTTTCTCTTCCTTTCTTTCCTCTGTTTGCTTCCCAGCACTACTCCCATTTCCCCACTCTTCACTTGTAGGTTACATTCCCAGCCCCATTCCAGTTGTTAAAATAAGTGATGAACTGCTTAACCTGGCATTAGGTTTCAGAGTTAACAAACCTCCGTGACATTAATGGGAGGTGGAGGAGGGTTCAGACATCTAAATGTTTCAGGCTGTCTTCAGATTCTGTTACACTATCTTGTTACATTTGGGAGATTTTCTTCGCAATCTTGAGTGCTAGAAACTTGCTTTTTGTTAAAATAAAAACTTAAACTCTTCAGATTCTGGTTCTACTATGTGGATCAAATACAGAGCATGGGTTGTTTGTATGATATCTCTGTGTGAAAGAAATGTTCTTTTTCAGGACTTACCCGTTAAGATTCATACATTTTAGGAAGAGTTATTTTTATATTAGCACAGTAAATGCTATGATTTCTCTATAGGAAAACAAACATACCCTTATCCTTGATAATAGCAACAGTAAGAAGAAAAGAATATCCTTGATTTTGTAAAAAGTTATAGGTATATGAAAAAATATATTGGAACCAATATTTATAACTGGTATGTAGACAAACAAAAAGGGAAATGTATTTGTAAATGAAATTAAATAGTAACATTTACCTCTGATTTAAATAATAGAAATAATGCTTCCACTTTGGGTCAGAGCCTGTAGTTTGTTGAAATCTCAAGACTTACTTTACAGGGGCATGATCCTGTAAGGTGCTGAGCGCCCTCAACTCTTTTGGGCTTCACCTGAAGTCGATGGCAATTGAAGTGACCACACAGCACATTGCAAAAGGGCACTGAGCAGAGACATGCTTTTGCTCTCACTGAAACCAGTATGAGTTTTGCCATTACATTGAGTGGGACAAGAGGGGCTGCTTCACATTTATCTGGCTGTACGAGGAATTTGGGAAGGTGGTAGAAGCGCTATGCACAGTTGTGTGCTGCATTCTGTAGCAATCACCAGCCCCCAAATCAGAGGCTAATAATAAGGGAATTAGTGCATTCTGGACCCAGTTAAAGAAAGCATGTAAGCATGTGTGTTAGTCAAAGGGTGTGCTTATAGTCAATACTATACTCCAGGTTAAAATACAGGTACCTTAGTGACTTAGCTTTTCTGTTTAGGGATACCTTCTTGAACTGGGGCATAGTAAAAACTTAAAAAACAACAAATAGTCTTGTGGCACCTTGTTAGTCTCTAAGGGTACGTCTAGACTACAGGCTTTTGTTGACAGAGGCTTTGTCAACAGATACTGTCAACAAAGCCTCTGTCGACAAAGAGCATCTAGACTACCGCCAGTTCTGTTGACAAAGCCAGCCGCTTTTTCGACAGAGAGTCTAGACACGCTCTTTTGAAAAAGCACAGTGTGGATGCAATAGTGCCTTTTGTCGACAGAACTCTGTCGACAAAAGGCGTTATTCCTCGTAGAATGAGGTTTACCGCCATCAATAAAACTGCCGTGTTCTGTCGACTTTCTGTCAATAGAACTCGGCAGTAGTGTAGACGCAGGTATAGTTTTGTCGACAAAAGTTCACTTTTGTCGACAAAACCCTGCAGTCGATACACACCCTGCAGGACTATTTGTTGTTTTTTAAGTTTTTCCAGTTACAGATTAACACGGCTACCCCTCTGAAACTCGCGGACATAGTACTTTATCTTTTTTCTTTCCCCTTTTTTCTCTCTAAGCAATATTACATGTTATTACAACTAGGAAGGCTCCATTCGATCATATGCCACCAGAGCAAACTGAGTCCAAGTTGCTGCATCTTAATTTCCATCTGGTTCAATAAACTCAGGATCAGACCCCCAAGTCTGTGTCTCCTCATCTTTTTCTTAGGGAAACAGATAAAACTTTGTGTAAAAATACATTTCCTTTCTCTAATGAGAAGACATTATTGAACAAAGAGCCTGCTGTTTTGAAGAGAGAGATCTAATTGCAGAATGAAATGCCTTTCTTTGGTAAAATGTAAGACCTTCTAGTTTTTGATATCTATCTGTCACCAATTATTTGCCTTTTTACCTCCTGCAGCACTCCTCATTGAAGTCATGGCGACTGAAGGCACTCAGCCTTGTCTGTAGGACAGGAGTGGGCAATAATTTTTGATTGGAGGGACATACCAAGAATTTGGTAAATGGTTGAGAGCCGCACTCTTTCATGATATCAATGGAGGAAGTGCAGGGTCTGGGATGGAGGTTGGGTGCAGAAGGGAGCTTGAGGTAAGGCATTCAAGTGCAAGAGGGAGAGTGGGGTCTGGCAGGGAGTTTGGGTGAAGGAGGCAGTTGTGACCAAGGCCAGAGGAATGGGGTGCAGGGGTTTGGTTTGTGACCTAAGGAAGGAATGGATTGTGATCTGGGACAGGGGATTGGGCTGCCGGTTCTGGGAGGGGGTATGGGCGCAGGAGGGGGCAGAGGGTTTGGATATGTTGAGTGGGGGAACAGAGAGTTGGGGAATGGAGGGGCTGGCGTGCCAAAGGCAGGCTCTGGGCAGGAGACTTACCAGCCAGCAACCCAACCAGTCTGCCTGCCTGCCAAGCTAACTGCTTGCAGAGCTTAACATGTTTCTCAGCCTGCCTGCCTCGTGCCTGCACAGGCTGCAGGGCCATATGCTTGTGTAAATAACTGAGCTGGAGGGAAAGGAGCCGTGGTGCTTCATCTGCTGCCTATTATTCACACCGGCAGCTCTCATTGGCCAGTTTCTGACCAGAAACTGGCCAATAGGGTTGTGCTGGGGGTGGGGGTAGTGCCTGAAGCCTCCCCCCTCCCTTTGGGGATCACAGTTTTGAAAGAGAAATGGCCCAGCAGCCGCTTTGATGAGTGCTCTGTGGGGCTGCAGGGGAGCCTGTCTGGGGCTGCCCACTGCCTCCGTGGGCTGGATCCAGTAGCATGGCAGGCTGGATCCCAGCCTGTGGGCTGTATTTTGCCCAGGCCCGCTGTAGGTCTTGAGCACCTTTGCAGGATGGAGCCCCAGGAAAACCACTTTCACTACAATGTCCATTTGAAGTTGCCACAATGCCTTTAATCAACAACATTTTGTGGTAATTCAGTTTTTACTTACACTTGAATGGAGTTTTCCTTTTTTTGACATCGCTAAAAATTTGTTGCTGAAAACTCCTCGTATTCCTACAATCCCCTGAGACACAGCAAATATTTCCAAAATACCTAGGATGACAGAAATCCCAAAGTAAATCACAATACTTTTCATATCACAGTGACAAAATGAAATTGTCATTTCCTTTTAAAAACCCCCGATCTTCCGTGGTGTATGCAATAATTTCCCTTTGGATTGCTGACTGCTTTGCTTATTGGAAAGGTGCATTTATGGTTGTTTTAAAAACTTAAGACATCTTTCAGATGACTGACACGTGATCTTTAGAAATGCGGAGAATGACTTTTGTTGGGCTGTGATCCCGCAAAAATGTATGAATTTATGTAATCATTAACATTTTAGTAGACCACCGATATAACTGGGATTTTTCATGTATATATTGTTAAGTACATGCATAAGTCTTTGTAGGATCAGGGATAAATGCCCCTAAAATAATCTATTTCTCTATTAAACTTAACAGACCTCTTTTCCTATAAACACACCAAAAAAATCCACTATGTTCCATTCAAAGTAGGCTACAACACAAACCAGCCAATGCCAAGAATTTCAACCATCTGGCTCATTGACACTGTGCCACTGCCACTGCAGCAATAATTTTTATATTGTTGGGAGACCTCTTGGTAAAATAGTTCACAATCGTTCGGGAATGTCTACATGACAGGACTAAAGTCTAATTAAGCTTTGCAACTTCTGCTATGTCAATTGTGTAGCTTAAGTCAAAATAGATTATTTTGGCTTTGGGTACTGCATACACAGCAGGAAGTCCAAGAAAGAGCATTCTTACTCTGACTTCCCTTACTCCCTTCCCGTGAAATGAGGGCTACATGAATTGGAGTAAGAAGTCCTCCAGCTTGACATTATTTTGACATTATGTCAAAATAACTGGTTGTAGTGTAGACACAGACTATGTTATTTCAGAATGTGAATTAGTCCAAAATAACACTGCTATGTAGAGGTACTCCCTCTGCTTTTCAGTGATACCCCTTATTTCAGACCCACATTTACCTCCAGGTCACACAAATTTACTCTCTCCCTTTTATTGTTATAAAAGATTTGCACCAGAAATTCAAGAGTAGAGATCAGCTGGATTTTGGATGAGACTTTCTGATTCAAATGAAATTTTGCTTCTTCAGATCTGGAGAAGCATACACTAGTTTAAAATCTTTTGGGGCAGGGTTCATTTTGCTGCATAACATGTGTCATGAATAGGAGCTGCTAAAGAGAGTTTGACTTACCTGAAGTGTGAGGAGAGGGTTAAGCAGCTCTGGAAATGCACCTGAGGGAAGGGTCTTTGGGCATTCAGCCAATGAAATGCAGATAGGAATTTCAAACTGAGAGGATTTTTCCCCCCTTTCTTCTTTTGTTTTGAGATCAGAGCAGTTTTTTCCCCAGGTAATAAGGGAGTCAGGCTCTCCCAGGAATGGACTCCTTGAAATGTGTAAGTAGGGAACATAAGAACAGCCATTCTGGGTCAGACCAATGGTCTATCAAGCCCAGTATCCTGTCTGCTGACAGTAGCCACCAGATGTCCCAGAGACAGGGGACACAACAGGTAATCCTCACGTGATTCCTCCCCTGTCACACACCTCGGGAAAAACAGAGGCTAGGGACACCATTCCTACCTATCCTGGCTAATAGCCATTGATGGACCTAAGCTCCATGAATCTATCTAGCAAAGTTTAGATAGTCCATCAGGTTTTATTTTTTTCCTTGTTTGAGGGTTTGGAAATCATGTCTGAGCTGGATAATTGTTTTTCTCTTTTGTAACTAAGGATTGGAACCCAGGCATTTCCCCTGAATCTATTTCACTCCATGGCTTTTAACACCCAATCATTTACTATGCTTGCAACAGTAGTTTTGTTTTGATAATAAGTATTTTCCTTTTTGTTTTGATTAACCGGTATTGGTTGATTGTTGTGTCCTTAAGCCTTTGTGCCCAAGTAATGGGGGAGGAGCAGAGCCCCATTGTTCTCTGAAGATTCCCTGTTTGTTTTCCCAATTCCAAGCAAAATAGAGGTTGGTGACAAGGGGGAGAGCTATGTCTTAGGGAGGGGTTTCCCAAGTGATCTCTTCCCTGGAAAAGGGTTTATTTTATATTTTTTTTAAACTTTACTTGGGTGGTGGCAGCAACCAGTCGTCTTCCTTTTCAGTCTCAGGGAAACTGAGATTGGTCAAGTTTGTCCCTGGGGAGTTGGTCCTGCCTTGAGGGCGGGGGGCTGGACTCGATGACCTCTTGAGGTCCCTTCCAGTCCTATGATTCTATGATTCTATGAGTTACAGAGACATGTTCTTATAGAGTTTATTCTGCTAGCTGGCCCCCATATCTACGCTTGAAGTGCCAGGTGGGGAAATTGAGCCATGACAGCATGTATTTACAAAGTGTGTCCATTCGAGACACACTATTTGACTATAACTTTAATTTTAATATATGCAAAATGTGGGC